CCTAGAAACGCCCGCACCTCGGTCTTCGTAGACGGCGGACGGCGATAGTCAACTACAGCGGCTACCTTCAGCTCCAACGGCCTCCGTTGGCCGCGCCCGACAACATGTCCAAATAGCTGACTTCAGAGCGACCAAAATGGCATTTTTCTGCCCGTACTGTGAGCCCTGCCTTCTGCAATCTTTCCAGCAATCTGAAGATGTTTGATGTGTTCTTCCCAGGTATTGGAGAACACAGCTACATCATCGAGATAGGGAAGCGCGAAGTCTGACAGCCCATGTAAAACTCTATCCATTAGGGCAGAAAAACAATACAGAGTGTTCTTCAAGCCAAAGCTTAACATTACCGGACGAAATGTTCCCAGGGGGAAATGAAAGCAGCGTAGCGGCTTGGGGCTCCGTTAAAGGGACTTGCCAATAACCTCTAACAAGGTCTAAAGTAGAAATGTACATCGAGTTAGATACAGTCTCCACCCTTTCTTCCAAGTTCAGTATGGGGTATGTCTGGTCTACTGTTATTGCATTTAACCTCCGATAATCCACGCAGGGCCTTGGGTCTTCGCCTGGCGCCTCTACGAGGATTAGTGGTGAGGTGTAGTCAAACTCGCAGGGAATAGCCACTCCCAGCTCGCCCATGCACCTGACCTCTGCATCCATAATTCCCCTTTGCCTTGGGGACACACGATAAGGCTTGCTTCGAATAGGTTGATCACTTGACAACTCGATGTCATGCTCAACCACTGAAGTTCTTCCTGGTCTGTAGGAGAACACTGCCAGAAAATTCGGAACCACCACTTTTAAATCCATTTTCTGGTCTTCATCGAGACCTTGGTCCTTGCTTACTTGCTCTAATAAGCCCTCTATGGTGGGTATCTCAGGATTTTTCAAGCTTGGGATTTCGGCAGTTTCCTCTACCGGCATATTCACCGTCAGGTTTACGATAGCCTGGCGTTGTACATATGGTTTATGAGGTTACTATGGAAAACTCTGTTCTGTTTCCTCGCCAATTTGACCTCATAGTTCGTGTCGGATAACTTTGACATTACTTTTGCTGGGCTCTCCCACTGCACTTCAGTTTGTGTTTCTTGGAGGATGCAGCAGCATCACCTTATCGCCCACACTAAACGTGTACCGACGGGCTGACCTATCGTAGTACGTTTTAGATAAGACCTGAGCAGCTTTCATGTTTTTTTTCGACTTGCTCTCTTGATTTACCGAGTCTCTCTAAGAGACCCATCATGTACGCGTCAACCTTAGGTTCTTCCCCACATCTTTCCCATGCCTCGCGAAGCAGGCGTAAAGGACCTTGCAAGCCGCGCCCGTAAACCAGCTTCGCGGGGCTGAAGCCAGTGCTCTCGTGAGGGGCGGACCTTATCGCAAACATGCCGCAGGCACGCATGCCTCCCAGTCACACTCGTTCTCAAAGCAAAGAGCTCCCAAAATACGCTTTAATACAGAGTGCATTCGTTCAACCGGATTCAATTAAGGGTGGTTCACCGAACTATGCACAATCTTTATCCCGCAACGGTAAAAGAACGTATTAGTAGTTGCTTGTAAAACGCTCCTATTGTCACATTGAATCTCAGACGAAAATCCTACCCGAGAGTAAATGGACACAAAGCGTCCACGACAGCAACTGAAGTTAGCTCCCTGAAAGGAATGGCCTCGGGAAATTTAGTGGCCACGCACAAGGCTGTTAAAACATAGGGACAGCCAGACAGCGATTCCGGTAAAAGGCCTACAATGTCAATCACAAGCCGACGAAATGGCTATGAAATGACTGGCACCAACGTCATGGGGTATTTCCATTTGCCAGTGGTTTTACCGACCCGTTGACATGTGTCGCAAGAGCAAACGAACTCCTCTATGTCCTTCCAACAGCCGGGCCAGTAATACTCTGAGCTAGCCTGGCTTTGGTTTTTTTAATCCTTAAGTGTCCGGCCCATGCATTGCCGTGTGCCAGATCGAGGAGTTGTCGGCAGTGTTTCTGCGGTACTAGAAGCTGGTCGTACACGCGCCCTTTTGCATCTGCATATATTCGATGCATGATATCTGAATTCATATAGAACGGAATGTTCTTTTTCGCTACCCCCTCTTTTACATGTTCCTGCAGGGATTTCAGGGATGGATCTGCCCTTTGTTCAGCGACAAAGTGCGGTTTATCTACTTGAGTAAGGTGCTGCCAAGAGTTTGACATGGGTACTACAACTGACCCTTCCACTCGTTCCGGACACTCAGCGTGTTGGCTCACGGTCCTCCCGTTTTCCTCATGCACGTCCCGATCCGCCCGAGTTGGCACGAGCGATTGGCTAGTGTCCTCCTTTGATTCTACCTCGGTGCTTACTGACATTGGCGGCTCAACTGGTTGCGTCATCCCTAGTTTTCCAAAATTTCACGCGCTTTAGAACGCGTGAGGGCCATGAACACAACTTCGTTGGAAAACGACTCGCCTCGCTCTCTAAGAAGTTTGGCAGATTTGTTGGAGAACAAATAGAAAAAATTCTCCGGCAAATTTCGGATACCGCTGCCTCGGTGTCTAGTCGGTCGAAAGGGCCTCTAGAATTACTCGAACTATTGGCAGGCATGCACTTTGCTCCTCAGCCACCTGTCGGATCCAAGCACACTCTCCGGTAAAGTCCGAAGGAGAAACGCAACTTGGGTGTGCGACATCCATCGTGGCGGCTGAGTCGCGCAGTACCCTCTTCTTCCTGCTGTTGACAAGCATTTCCTGCGTGTACGGCTGCAAAAGTCTCACGCTCTCGTCCGACTCACGTATGCTTGCAAATGCCATTTTCATTTTAGAACTTCTAGCAAAGTGGCCTGGTTCATTGAAGTTGTAGCATACTGCAGATCTTTGCGCATCAAATGTGCCATTCACGTCAGCAGATGCCTTTAAAGTGCCCCCTGTTTTCGACTCATTCTCACGCTTTTCATTCGGGGGCTCCTGCGCCTGCGATTCTTCCTTTCGGAAGTTGTTACGTGGAAAAAACCTCTTTCCTTCAAACTGTTTAGACGCGAATCTTTTGGATTTTTCTCAGGCTGCGCTGCCTTTCCGCACAAATTTCTACGCAGTTCATAGTCATCGGCAAGCTCAGCCGCTTTGCTCAAATTCATTTCTGTGAGCCTATCTTGGAGCCACAGCTGTGTTTCTTCTGGAATGCCACTGTAATACTGCTCTAGGGCAATGCATTCTATTACTCTATCGTGGTCTCCATAAACTTCCGCACTCTTCAGCCATTCTACAAAGGTTAGTCTTATTAATCCGATAGGCGAAGTCCTTGTGTCACTTGGCCTTACATGCATGCCTGAAACGCTGTCGGAATGCCTCAGTGCAAAAGCGATATTTGCGCAACATTGCCCTTTTAACCTTGTCATACACTTCCGCGTCCTCTCTACTAAGTCGCCTATCACGTCGGTGGCCTCGCAGGGAAGCAGTGCTAGCAATTTTTGCGGCCAATCCTCGAGAGGGATTCTATTTTCTCGCATTGTCGCTCAAAATGGACAAAATATAGCGCGATGTCTCCACCAACCTTGAACGGCTGCACAAGGTATCTTATCTTGTTTGGGTCTCCCTATTATCTCACTGCGGGAACATGGTTCCCGGCTGATACCCTAACTTCCAGCTCTCCCAGTTTCAGCTCATGTTCCCTTCTTTCTCTTTCCTCCCGAGCTTCTCGCTCTTTTTGCTTTTCAGCTCGAATATCCTCCTGAGCTTTCTCCTATTTCCCTTCTATCTCGAATTTGCTCCAACAGCTTCCTGGGTTTCCTCGAGAGTCACTTTCTTTCTCTATAAATGCGATGATCTGCTGTTTCTGCTTAGCAGAGCCAACCGCAAGCCCTAACTCCTTGCAGATTTCGAGAAGGTCCAGCACTTTGAACTTGTCCATATTAATACTTCACTCCACCTCGTTTATGCTCTATCAAACAATGCGGTCGAATCATTCAATTATTGGCCGACCCACAAAGTTACAATGCCAAAACCTACTAACAAAAAGCGCGAGCTAAGTCTGGCCCTACGAGCTTTCACTACGCCTCGTTTACTTTCTATTGAAGCAATGTGGTCGAATAATTTGTTTTTGGCCAACCCACAATGCTACCACACCAAAACCTACTAACAAAGAGCGCTAGCTAGGTCTGGCCCTATGAGCATTTCACTACGCCTTATTTACCATTGAGTGAAACAATGTGGTCGAATCATTCAATCCTTGGCCGACCAACAAGGTTACCACACCAAAACCTACCAACAAAGATCGCTAGCTAGGGCTGGCCATACGAGCATTTCAGTACGCCTTATTTACCCTCGAGTGAAACAATGCAGACGACGAATCATTGAATCCTTGGCCGACCCACAAAGTTACCACACCAAAACCTACTAACAAACAGCGCTAGCTAGGTCTGGCACTACGAGAGATTAACTTCAAGCACTCACCACGCCAGGGTAGCTGGACAGATAAAAAGTGGGAGATAAAGACTAAGATGTAGGGAGAGAGAGATAGGAAAAGGCGAATGCTGATTTCCTCTGGGTGGGTCAGCCCAAGGGTGCCGTCTACGTGAAGCGGGCGCCAAAGGGGTGTGTTGCCGCCGCTGGGGGGCCTTCCAGGTCCAATCACCCAGCATTGGCTCAACCTCCAGGATCCCCTTTTCCCCGGAAAGCAACGCACAGCTAGGCGTGGGAGGGGGCCGAAACCCCCCCGTTAGCTCGGGTCCATGGTGTCGCAACACACCAAACGCCTGCATGCGCAGACGTCGCTGCGGGGGCGACCAGCAAGCTGATCAACCACTAACTTGTCTTGTAAGTCCTTGAAATGCCCTTTCTCATGCATTAAGTTGGTGTTAGCATTCTTCCAATATCCTGGCAAGCCCACAGGCAAGAGATATTTCGTATATAGGGCAGCCAGTTTTTCTAGAACAATCTATCCACGGTCTTTCTTTCAACAGACCTGCTGTCACCTTATCCTCACAGACTGCTTTACCTCTCTGCATTCTCTTGAAGACATTCTTTACTTCTCATAGCTCTTTTATTGCCTTGTACATTCAGCATTACTGTCAGCACTATTACAATTTCCAACAGTAAACAATTTATAACTCTGCTTTAAAAAAGGTATGCAAACTATGTAACCCCCTTTTTCTTCTTTAACTGATTAGCAATGTTACATTTCCATTATATTTTAGACTGCATTTAATTATAGCCTCTCTATTACTTTTCTTATCTTGACAAAGTTTCTCATAATAACCATGGCAACATACTGTTCAGCACAGATACTACTTTATTGGTGGGAATTCTGTTGTTCTTACTTTTCATGCATAAAGAGCTTATGGTTATTCATAAGCCATCCATAAGGTAAAATATTGTTGCTGGGTGCATTATTCCAGTTCCACTAAAAACTTAAAAAATGGTAATTTACAATGCTTTTTTAACAACAAACATGTAATCATGTTTATGTAAACCCAGCTACAGTGCTTTATCCAGTACAGAAACTGTGGTAATTTTATAGAACAGCAGTACAGAACACTTTGAATAACTCCAATATGCAGGCCCATGTAAATTACAACCAACAGTGCATGCATATATACAGACAAGGTCACCACTAAGCCTGTTGAGAAGTTAAGTATAACCGAGTACAGTAGAAAAAGAAAGCAAGTGACCTACATAGCAAGGTCTCCCACCCTATCGGGGGTGAACTGGCCAACGCCCATTATGCTGTTGATACCTCTGGGCAATGTGTCATATGACTTGGCATTTGCTTCTTCCTTGATATTTCCTAGGGACACCTGCATTTTTAGAAATACTGGACAATGTAAGAAATCATAAACTGTGACATAACAGAGGAATGAATGCAACATATAACACATGGGCACTTACACGTGCATACTATGACAAGTGTTTTAATAAAAATGAGAAAAATTAGAAACGAAGCTTCATGGTTTTCTTCGATATTACTGGCACAGATGGAATCTGTTTACTTCCAGGAATGAAGCAATCTCTCCCAAGACATCTGGCTAGCAAGATACATAGAAGAAAAGCAGCGAGTACAGGTAAGCGTACTGGAGGCTTTGGAGTTGACAACACGTGTAGATATATACTGTTATAGAAGGCTCAGTGCGAGACAGGCGACCGTATCTAGTGTTTTAAACGAGCTTACATGTAAAACACGGTATGCTGCTGCACATGAATAGACATGAAGAGGAAACCTTAAAGAAAGACAGTGAAACAATCAGTTTAGACTGATTAATTTTACTAAGAATATTTTGCATGTCAGTAATTTCACAATCATATGGTCATTAATAGATTAAAAAACATTGCCTTCTAAATTTTCTGCCAAAATCTCTGATAGTCTCTACATGCCCAGTTTCAAGCTTGGCACTACTCGTGCCTCGTCAAAGAAACATCTCTCACATTGCATGTTTCACCCCTCTGTTAGTAAAGTTGAAACACCCTACCCTACATGCTTTGCCACTCCCCATTTTCTTCTTTCCTTCATGCTGTCTTTTCGGTTCCAAAGCGGAGGTAGCTGACATACCTGCTGCACCCTCAATTCTTGCTTTCCACCTGACCCTTGGCATTTCTTCAGATAAAGAGGGTTCGCAGTTTTCAGCAATTATTTTCAAACAAGGAATAATACATTTCAAGGCAACTTCTAGTTATGCCAGAATAATAATTACATGACCGCCCGCACGATTCTATCTCTACCTTTACCTTTGATCTAGCTATCATATTGTCATAATTTTTCAAATGACATCTGCTTTTGCCATATAGCAATAATAATGGCACTAAATTTAACAAATTTTATTTAATAAAAATGAATGAGTGTACCATATGATAGGCTGTTCACACTTTCATGTTCATCCTTGTCATTCTCCAGCAGTTCTCCATAGCTACAGCAAAACTTCCAAACAGTTTGAGAAGAGTTTGACATTATACATTTATTGAATGGCGCTGCAAACCACAAATTGAATGATCACCCAGAACTAGTTACTCTTTTCAAGTACGTGCTTTCAGCCATACAGGACTCCATCATGCTCAAAGCTTATCATGTGGTTCTGGTCATCCTCATTTAGCAAGAAAAATAACTTCTCTAATGTACAAGCATCTGCAATGGCACAGTTATCATAACCTACATAAAATCTTGCTCTGTCATTGCCTTATGACAATGCTGGTTCAATAGAAGGCTACTTGTAATGGCGATTTTACTACCTGATAAGAACGGCAGGAGAAAACTGGCACTTTCAGCTGAATGCAGCATGTGTACATTGTATTCACTCTCCCCAATTGCACCTAATTAAAAGGACCTTAAAGGCAAATAATTTAAGTTGGAGTAAGAGATCACTGTTTGAGAATGCCAAAAACTTAAATATTATCAACAGCAGTGCTCTACTGATCAAGAACCTAAGGTCAGTGTACAGCACTACATGTGCCAAGAGTGGGACATTTTGGATTAATCCCAATGACATCAAGAGTCCAGAGTACAATTTAGCACAAGTAATCAAACCGGCTGCAAGAAATAATAACTTTCCATTCATTACAAAATGTAATAAAATGTTGCCTGTCCATTTGGAAACGGCACGAGTGGTTCAAAAGTTCTGTTTTCACTGGACTGTTCTTCGCTCAGGCAGTCGCCTATCAGTGGTAGTTTCAGCATCACGTAGTGCAGCGTGTGCTTTGCACGCCTGCAAAAGTCGCCGTGACGTGGAGAGCATTACCCCTCCTGTAAAGTTGTTTGCACTTCATGGCACATGCGAGTCTCGCAGATTAGCCCCGGTTAGGTTTAGCAGTCACTGAGTGAAAGGGGATTCTCTGCTCGTCTAGGTTAAGGTTAGCGCAGTGGCGCCAGCAGAGCCGTCCGGCAGATATTGGGCTGGCACAGAGAAAACAGTAAAGTATCTTTTTGGAATTGGCAGACTGTGGGGGACGAAACCATAGGTCATTTCCCATGGATCCCTTGTGGAGAGTCGAATGTTGGCGGCACCGCATTTGCGGTACTTTATAAGGCTTATGTAGCCCGCTTGATTATATTCTATGCTTGTGTGTTGCATAGGCATATTGTATAAAGTTATTTAGCGTGTCATTACAGATGTATCAAATTTAGCTGGTGATATCATCGATGTAAAAATAGATTAATAAATGTACACATTTTTAGTTCCCTCGATTGCATCTGCTGTCCCTGTTTGTTTCTAGAGTGGAGCGATCTTTTCAGATCCCACAGACTCAAAGTTCTACAAAATATCCCGTCCATGTGATGTTGTCAGATGCCCTTGTGACATTACCGCTTGAGCTGCAGCAAAGAAACCAACACGATTTTCGACTGGGTGCCGCAAAACAAACCCCTATGCTTGAAGAGGCCAGCGGAGTGACATGCCTCTTACCAGTATGCAAAAAAATCTGCTTGTTTGCTGACTGCCTTTTTCTGCAGAAGATTACAAGATCAAGTGCAACTTGATCAAGGCTTGCAATATGCTCTTCCCAGCAGTGCTCTACTGCTACTAGTGTCTGTGGCCGCCCATTAAAGGAGGGCAACGCTGGGCAAGGCAACCGCTATGCCAGATGACCTCTTCTGGCAGGTGATTTTGAAGTGATGTGCAGACCATTAAATGTGATTTCATTTGCAAATAAGCATTACTTTGGCACAAAAGTAGCACTACGAGGTTTCTGGACTGCTGCTTCAACTAGCAACATCAAGATAATAGTGTCCTTTTAACGACACAGCCATAGGTGTGCTGAACTGAATTCGCTATTCTGGTCAGTCAAATTGAAATTATTTGGCAATGGCCAATATCAAGGTGCAATTGTGAGAGTATTGCTCCATATAAATGTGTGTGTGCTCACCAATATTTCAGCCAGGATCAATTTAAAACTCAAGTCTAATTCATCCAAGCGTACAGCAATTACAAACCTGCGTTTTTCCCCCTGAGAGAGAGTAAATTTAGATGAAAATTTATCAAGAGTTAAAAAATGAATGATCCACACCTCTCAAAATAAACAGTTTACAATACAAGAGTACACAATTTGGCTGCGATAAAGAATAGTGATGTTGCACGAAAGATTTTTGTTTGTTTGTTATTTAGAGCTGTAAGATTGTTCACCTCACAAAGCAGCATCAGCCCTTCTTCCTGTGGCTCCCGGAAGCAATAGTTTGCACTCTTGCTGACACAGTCAGCAAAGTATACACCTTTTCCGAACATGCAGCCATTTGGGGATGCAGCTTGGGGGGTGATGCACAGTCCGCTACTCAGAATGCCTGCAAAGTTGTTGTTCCTTGAGCCATGCCACAGCATTCTGTGGTTTCCAACAGAAACAAAGCTCTCATTGTATGCCATCTTCTCAATTCGAAACACATTCTGCAGCTCCAGATGGTACTTATTATGTGTCGATCCATGCGTTTTTTCAAGAGACGCTTGAATGATCTGGAAAACAGAGACCAAAAAAAAAAAACTTCACTTGTTATCTTGACCTACACAAAGTTTGCTATTTAATTTCACCCTAAAACTACGGCATTACAACTAAGTAAACAACTATTTACTGTAGCAAGCTAATGATTTGTATTGCTTTATAAGTCAATAATACAGTTGCACTCACTGCCAATATAAAAAAAAAATAAAAAATAAAAATAAATCGATGCAGAACCTTCTATTTTAGCAAATGTACCCTCAAACAGAAAATGTACAAAAGTATATTTCCGTTATAGAAACTCCAGTTAATTACATGTAGGCCAAAGGTCCTGGCCTAGCACCCAAGCACTTTATAGTGGGGGTAAAATTTCAATATCTCGATCTCGAAACTACCCTGCAACAAATAAACCGAACTTGGCTGGCCATTTTACGTATGCCCAACATCAACGGTTACTGTAGTGTATTGGTTTCATACATTAACGCCCTATTTTTGATTAACGTTTCCTATTTTTGATTGGCCCAAAAGAATTTCAGCACAAAAACAGCAGCTTATGACGTGTTATTACAATGATAATATGATATGTGGGGTTTGACGTCCCAAAGCCTCCATATGATTATGAGAGACGCATGACGTGTTATTACAACATTTCTCTAATTCTTATGTATGGCCGCCCCCTCCTGAGAATATCCGTCCGAAACATTCCAGGGTGGTAAAATCTGCCTTTTTAATTTGCCTGTGCTGCCCTCTCTCGTTTTGGTAGCGCTATGACAGGAACTGGGACAACTGGTATTACCAGAAGGAAAGGCTCCTCTGCAGGAGTAGTCTAGTGGCTAAGGTACTCGGCTGCTGACTCGCAGGTTGCGGGATCGAATCCAGGCTGCGGCGGCTGCATTTTTGATGGAGACGGAAATGCTGTAGGCCCATGTGCTCAGATTTATGTGCACGTTAAAGAACCCCAGCTGGTCAAAATTTAAGGAGCCCTCCACTACGGAGTCTCTCATAATCACATGGTGGTTTTGGGACGTTAAGCCCCACATATCAATCAAAGAAAAGGCTTCGAGATAAAAAGGCGGTTCACGACTTTTCTGCAAGGGGAAGGGCGCATCCGCCATGGCATTGTGGAAAAGGCAGGTTCAATACGAAACCAGATGGGCAAGAGCCGAAATCAATGGCACACATGGCGTCCATAGCATAATGACATGACAAAGCATTGTCTTAAGCAGTGGTGGAAACATGGTAAAATACAGAACACATAAAACCAATTATAAAAACATCATAATGGGTCATAGAAGAGGGGCAGCTGATATTTGGAATCCTATTGTTATGGTGGTGACAATATCACTTGGGTCTTGTAACAATATTAAGGGGACATAGTTCTTGGGGCTACCTCCTTCATTTTTTTTTTTACCAAATTCAATTTAGAAGCAGCTAAAATGTATTTCTCGTGCTAATTTTAAAAATATAATAGTTATTTGTTATTTGAAATAATTATCAAAATGAATAAATTTGAATTACTATTACTTAGGGAGGCAAAAGATAAAAATTGACTGGGCAGAAATTTATGTTTAATGCATCAGTTAAAAGCAGAATGCATAAGGAAGGAATTGCTGCAAGCATTTTTCAAATCCCTCAACAATGAGCACTTAAGCAGCTCACTCAAGTCCATCATTTACAGTAGTTACTTACAATCAAGAACAAAAGCAGATAAAAAAATTGTAGAGGAAGATTGTGCTTGTAGCACTTCCAAGTTTTATGCATTTAGCTTCATACCAAAAAGCATTACAGCTGTAGCCATCCTAGAGCTCGTGAAATTAATGCTCAAAACAAGCAGGACAAGTAAAAGCTTGTTTTGAGAAAATGCAAGAACGCTCATTTTGAGCTACACATAACACGAGATGCTAAAACATTTTTGTCAGGTGATAAGTAGCCACCAGTAACCTTACCTGCATAGCTGCTGCTGCGGCATATTCCATTTAGAAGCAGTATGGCATTAAAAGAGCCCCCCCCCCCCCTTGTTTCATTCAGTTAAAATGTACATTAAGCTTTTCTTGATAACACAAATTGCTATGAAGATTATCCATCCAAGGTGAGAACTTGGTGAGCAATGCGTGTTACAAAAGCACAATATTTTGAAAATTGATTTCGATAAACTAAAGATCACTGGGAGAGGCCTTCAGCCTGCAGTGGAGATAAAAATAGGCCAAGAGTAATGATCAAGCTCAAACTTGTAACCTGTAAGAAAGAACAATCCTTTTTGTTTATGTTATTAGCCGTTTCTTTTAATCTTTAGTTTGTAGCGCCATCATCACCATCATCATTTCTTCATCACCGCGCCGCGCCTCTCGCGCAGCTGATGCTAGCTCGAGCTGCGCGAGATTTAGAACGAGTTTCTGGCCTGGCGGTTTGGACGTGGACAGCCACCGCGGCTCCGCTTCAGGCCTGGAATAAAGTGGCGAGATCGGCACGGCCCCATCGGCCGCCTTCGACGTCATCTCACGTCTCTCTTCTTTCGCCGCTACATTGGTGACCCGGAGAACACGCCCTTCGCCGAATGGCCCGCTGCCATGTTCCCGCAACTCTGCCCGCCAGTGCCGCAGTTCCAATCGACCTACCCCAAGGTATGGTTTATGCAGCTCGACGCCGTTCTTGCGGTGAATGGCATCACGGACCAGCTGCTGATGCACGCCATTCTTCTCGACGCCCTTCCGGTAGAGTTGCGCCATCTCGCTGCCACTTCAAGCACCAGCCCGCAGCCTTACGATGCCCTCTGCACTGCGGTGCTCGCCCGCAGCGGCAACACATACCGTCCGCTTCCGTTTACCCGCACCAGGCAGGTTTCCCCGGTGTCGCAGAGCAAGGTACGAACCGGTCTGCAGCCCTCCATTGACCGCTACCTCGGTACCCCGGCTTCGACTACTTCTACACCTGATACGGTCGCAGACACATCCACTCCGGCACCTGATCACGACCGCGAGGTAGAAGACTCCCCCACTGCGACTGACCTTCCCTCCGAGAGGTACATTCCCTCAGAGCCCCCGTGCAGAGCTTCATCACACGTACCTGCCACCTGCACGTTTTCCACGAAAGCGACGGCACGTGACAACGTGGCCCCACCAGACTCCATGACGACGTCGGCTGGGCCAGCTGACCTTCCTGCAGACTCCCCGCCTGTCCCGGCGCCTGTGGAGGTCCGCGGCACCACTCGCACTGTGGACCCAGAGCCCGCTGTGACACTCCTCGCCATCAGTTTCCCCTGCACACCGGTGCCTGCTGCTCAGGGCCTCGTGGACTGCCGGCGCCTACTGACATCATCCTCGATGTGTCCTGCGGGGGTTTGGGCCCCTGGGCATGCACGGCTGGACGTGCGTGATGCTGTGGCGATGTCAGGGGGTCCCGAGGGCCGCACGCCTGGCTCACCGCGGGTGGAGCACACCGTGTGTGCCCCAACGGATGCGCAGTTGGGCCATCCGCCTGCCACTGCGTGCACGTGCTTGAGCATTTCGGCGCCGTCGACGACCCATGACGGCTGTGACGCCGCATGCCCGCCGCTCGGTCTCGCATCACCGGACGTCGGGTTTGGCTCGAACAGCGCGACGACTCATCGGCGTACGCCTACGCGTCGCGCGTCGTCAGAGGTCGGGGAAAGCGGTCTGTCAGTGCCCTCTGGGCCGGCTCGTTGTCACTGTAAACCATGTCGCACTTCGTCGGTCCAGAGCGCACCGTTTCAGACTTATCTGCACCCTGCTCGGCCGACCAGGCGGCCGCCGCGCCCGGTGATGTGCCACTGGAAGCGACGGGACCGGCACGGTGGGCGCACTGCCAGGGTTGACCGCACTCCCTGTCGTCGTTCCCACCAGCTCCAACGTGGATGTAACGCTGGACCCTCTGGACTGGCCGTGCTGCGCTCATGCTGCAGTTCATTTTTTGAGCATCAGTGTCCGAGTGCGCGCGACAATCGGCCGCGCCGGGGCGGCCCGTGTGTGTTCTCGGCCCTTGGCCACTTTTCACCTTGTTGTTGGTGCTCGTTGTCGACAAGGGTGTCCCTTCATCACGACCCTCGCCGCTCCTTCCAACAGCGTGCCTGCCTGGCCACCCTCGTCCGCTGCGCCATTCCCAGTGTTGCCCGCCAGAGACCGTTGCCTACTGATGGCCCATAAACGTTGAAAACCTGGACTGGCCAAATGAACACTTTATGGATTGCCGTTCATGTATATAGCATTTGTCACTCTCTTTTTCACATGCCTTCAAATCGCGCAAAGCGCTAGGGGGGGAGCCCTGTAGCGCCATCATCACCATCATCATTTCTTCATCACCGCGCCGCGTCTCTCGCGCAGCTGATGCTAGCTCGAGCTGCACGAGATTTAGAACGAGTTTCTGGCCTGGCGGTTTGGACGTGGACAGCCACTGCGGCTCCGCTTCAGGCCTGGAATAAAGTGGCGAGATCGGCACGGCCCCATCGGCCGCCTTCGACGTCATCTCACGTCTCTCTTCTTTCGCCGCTACAAGTTTTAGCTCCACCTCGAGATAAAGCATTCGGCAACCCATTATAAAGGCCATAAAATTAGGATTGAATATTTTCTTTTCACAGAAGAAAAGAAGCTGTCGAGAAGCATGCATAAGCGCTGATCAAGAAAGAGAAGTAAAGCATTTGCCATGGACTGCATTTGAATTCTTATTTGTAAATAAAATAAATACAGCTGTGTTTCTTCTGCCATGACCAATTATTTGACAAAGTGGTGCAATGGGCATCAAACTTGAAGGTTCTACGTCAACTTTTCGCTGGGACTGAGTAAACAGACATTTCTTCTAGCCCTGTGAAAATCGTTACAACGTTTGCCTCATAGTTGGTACATGGATGCTTGGTAACAGAACGTGCAAGTGGTCGGTGCTGCAGATGCTGTCAAGAATATATGAACCAATGTGGGTGATAGCAGCTTTCATTATACAAGCGAAGCTACTATTTCAGGAGCTGTGGAAAAGAAAAGTTGATTAGGATGACGAGCTATCCAAAGATCTAGGTATACAGTGGAGTAAATAGTGCTCAGAATTGCACCATATTTAAGAGATGGCCCTCAATCGTTGGGTGGGTCTTTTTCCAGGAAATGGAACTATGCAACTACACACAAAAACCCCATATTGCAATTTCCAATCCTGCCACAATCAACGTGAATGCAACTCACAGTTCTGCAAACCTACTTTTGTGTTTTCTCATTCTAATGAGGAAATCACAAATGCTATGAAAGCATGTCAGATCATTTTCCCTGAAGCAATGTCGGTGGCTAGGCTTTGTATTGCTCTAAAGCAAACAGTCAGGGCACTTTATAAAATCAGTGACTTTGCTTCAAGTGCTACTTTTTTTTCTTGTTCTTGCCTTGGTTAATTTTTAATTTTGCTGCTGACTTCTGCACTTCAAAGCATTTTGCTTTGAAGCCGGCCAATTTTTATTTATTATTTTTTTGTGTGGGTATGTACTGTCACTTAATGAGCCCCAGTTGTCAATGTAGTGCTTCTCCATAAACTTCTTTGCCTTTTCATTTTTTTCTTCACACTACTTTTATAAAAATGTATTTTTTACTCCTGAAGTATAGCAACCGCCAGTTACCTAGCCAAGAATAAAGTTTTTAACTAGGCAGAGCGAATGTTCAAGCACTTAAAGTATACAAAGAGCATTTCAGTATTCGAATTCACTTTGGAACAAATTAAAATTTTCCTAAACATTAAAGCACATGAAACCAACAAATACATGTATATTTTACCGCATGTAGACTGCCTGAAAAAGCGATTTCACAGCTGCATGGGGCTGCTATGCCTGAAACACCTACCTAGGAAATGTCTGCACTGCCAAGAAGCCACACTTTAAGGTTAAATGTACATTTTACCAGCAACTCTCTTAATTCTATCGCAAGCGCTGGTGGACCACCAGACGAAGAGGATAAAGTACTAACAAGCATGAAAGAAGAAACTGGGTCATCAGAGTAGCAGCAGGGTCTGTATGGTCTCTGCAGGGCAAATAAAAGCCTCTTTTTAATTACCTCGACGGAATCGAACTCTTTCCCTGGCTGCTCCACGCCATATCCCACACATTTTGGTACTGATCGACCCGAAATTGATCAAACGATGGCTAGGAATGTCCTGGAAGACATTGAGAAGATCAAGGCAAAGCAAATGTCACGAAGATCCCTGAACAGCCGGATCATCAACGAGGGTAGTGCCCGACTTCACAATGACTCCGCGACGCAGGACCAGCTCGTTTTCATATACGAGAAACTCTCACACTTAAAACAAATAACGATGAGCTGAACAAAATTAACTCCAACTTGGAGAGAATCATCTCGGACGAGGACTTCCAAGCCAAGTACGATACCACACTAGAGTATGAAGACAACATGATGCGAAGCTTGTCTGAGCTCCTAGGCAGGGAGAAACTCATTTCAAGTGCACAAGTATAAGATGAATAAGAGACGGCTACCCATATGATCGCTACACTTTGAGACAGAACTGGACACAAGCCACCGAAACTTAGGATTTCACCCTTCTCTGGGGATGTGTGTAAATAGACGGAGTTCTGGGAGCATTTTGCCCAGATTGTCCACGACAATGCCACCCTGACCACCACCGAGAAGTTCCATTATTTGCAACAGTTCTTGAAAGGAGAAGCTGCTTCAGCTGTGGCAGGTCTTCCAACAACTGAGGTATGCTACAACGCTGTAAGCATGCTACAGGAATGCTCCAGTGATAAGACGTGCTTAAAACAAGAATACAGTAAAAGCTCGTTAATTCGGATTTCACGGGACCGGAAAAACTGTCCGAATTAACCGAATGCCGAATTAACGAATGAACAGGGAAAACAACATTTAAAATGAAGCTGTAGAAGCATACCTTTATTTGTTGAAGTATTTTGTAATTGTCGTCTGCGTTTTCGCGCAGATTTCGCCTGACATCACAATTTTCTTAACTGTTCCAAATGGCCAACAGCACGCAAGCTGTCGGGAGTGTTCAGGCAAGCGTCCTCTAATATTAACAGCGCCTCCGAGACTTCCCGTGAGGTGCGATGAGGTCGCGGCTGTATCTCCTCGCATGATTCTTCGTCGGAATCGTAGTCTTCATGGGCGCCCGTGACGTCATTAATAATCTCTTGATCGGTCAGGAGACCACTCGTGGCGACACCGTGATCAATCGCGATGTAGTCCTGAAAGGTCACATCTGTGGGAAGGACAGCATCGAAAGTAGGGCAGTCATCGTCGGTGGACTCGGCTGACACCTCCTCGATGCCATCGTCAGCTACTGCTGCATGCTCGGGCCTCACAAAACCGCTGTGCCGAAAACAGTTGGCGATGACTTGCGGCGGAGTGTTTTTCCACACGTGGGCGATGATGTGCACTGCGCCGAGTAAGTCCACTTGATACAACTTTCTAGCTTCTGAGCATAGGATCATTCGCTCAAGCAGGTGCTTGTGGTACTTCGACTTCACGTAGTGAATGATACCCTGGTCCATCGGCCGAAGAGCAGACGTAGTGTTGGGCAGCAAAAAAACTACTTTGATGCTCTTCAGTTCGACTGTACAGTTATGGGCACTGCAGTTGTCAACAACCATAATTATCTTGCGGTCCTTCGACGTGAAGTGCCGGTCCAACTGCTGCAGCCAGCCGCGAAAAATGTCCGATGTCATCCATGCCTTCCTGTTCGCTGTGTACTCGACAGGAAGGCTTTTGATGTTCTTAAAACAATGTGGCTTAAGCGCCTTCCCGACGACAAGTAGTGGCAAGCGCTCCGTGCCAGTCATATTGGCGGCAAGAAGCACAGTTATCCTTTGCTTGCACTTCTTGCCACCAATGCACGCGTCCCCTTTGAAAGTCACCGTCTTGTCGGGCAGAGCTCTGAAAAATAGAGCAGTTTCATCTGCATTAAACACGTCACGTGGTTCATATGCGGCGATGTGTTCCAGCAGCTTCACATTTCTCCACTCGGTGGTCACGCTTTCGTCAACACTGACCTTTTCGCCGCACACACTCCTGAAGACAAGTTCTTGTCTCTCTCGAAACCACCCTTCTGACGCTTTGAACAATTCAATGTTCATCATTGCAGCTTACTTCTCACCTTGCGCCATGATGAGAGGTCCGCTCAAAGGCAGATGCGGGTTGCAACAGTCAGTAATACACGGGAGCAAAGCTTCTTCGAGCTGGGAATGAGCTGCGGTTCGCAACCGCTTTCTAGAGGCATAAAACTTCTCGCTTTCGAAGGCTTGTCGAATCTAATAATAATAATAATACTTTATTCGGGCATGTGTACACAGCAGTTACATGCCACTGAGATGAGGCAAAAGGAAACAGAGGAAACTGTTTCCTGACTAGGCCTACAGCTTGGCTTGTAAACAAAAAAAAAAAGGAGTGAGACATATACTCGTGTAAACAGTTTCGTGAACAAAAAATAAAAACAAAAACAAGGACAGTGCTGAGGAAAGCGAGAAACATCCAGTACAGCACAATTCATCAGCATCACTGTAGAGAAGTCATGAAATTTCAAGCAATTTCGCTATAGAAGTACGAAAACCTATAAAAACCATTTCATGTTGATATGTCCATCAGAATAAAGTTGTGAATAGATTTAATGAATGAAGAGGTGCAATAGTATCCATCATAATTCAGAATTCAAGTCGAGCTAACAATGTGCGTAGCTTAACAATTGAAATGCAGTGAAGTACAACCTCGTGAACAGGTATACATCACAAGTGGCAAAACATATTGCATCAAGCACTTCATCCTAGATCAAAGAGTAATCTTACTTTCTTTTTGAAATGATGTACAGATCTGCTGATCTGTGATAATTTTACTACAGAAGGAAAACTGTTACATTATGGTGAACCCCCCGCTATTAACTGCAGCGGACGATCACCGCGGGT